ATATGGTTCCAAGAGGAATAGATTTAGTTTAGATTTACATGTATATGCATTATGATAACATGAATATTCTTCTCAGACTTATTCTGTATCATATATAAAAAGCGAGTAGAAACTTAGAAATGTCTGGGAAAATTTATGTCTTCGACGTACTTTATAATCTTCGGGATTCTGCAAGATTTCACCCCCAAAATGCTTGAAATCACATTTCAGGGACTCTAAATTTTAAAATTTTCCCTGGGGTGCATGCCCCCGAACCCCTAGAGCGTACTTTATAATCTTCGGAATTCTGCAAGATTTCACCCCCAAAATGCTTGAAATCACATTTCAGGGACTCTAAATTTCAAAATTTTCCTGGGGGTGCATGCCCCCGGACCTCCATAGATGGTCTCGCGCCTTCGGCGTTCGCTTCGCCCCCCCCAAAAATGAAGGTCTGGCTACGCCACTGCATAGTGGTACCTCATTTCATATTGGACGAATACTTAATTATATGTAAATACAATGAGCTCAGTTACTGTGACTGTGCAACAGACTGGCTAACAGATGGACAGACCTGCTGACTGACGGCACTGACTTTGACTGACGAACAAATTGACCGACTGTCTTGGAGCATTTAACAACAAGTTGACACACATGGTTAAAAATAAATATATCAATAAATATACCTTAAATAGACATTTAAATAATTTACACAATAAATATGTTTTGATCTCTTTACATGGGTTGCATGATTAAAAATCCTAAAATGAAAAGGAAAAAATGTCTTGTTTAATAAAAACTTGTGAAAACCTGAGCCATCAACCTTGAGGAACAAACAGCACGAACACAATCTGATATGAGCTTGTTGGAACAACCTTGGAACAAGTATGTGGTAGATCTGCAACAACTTCCCAACTACCTGGGAACAAGCAGTGGTTGCACAACATGATATTAATTTGTTGTGCCAAGTCTGTTGCAGGTGCAAACACAACACAATATCAGTTTGCTGTAACAAGCTGTAGCAAATCTGTTGCAGGTCTTTAATTAACTACTTCTGAATAAGCTGGCAACACGCAGTGCAAACACAACATGATAAGAGTTTGTTGGGTAAACCTTGTGGGGCAAATCTATTGCAGCAAATCTGAGAACAAGCAGTACAAAGTACAAACACACCTTGATATCAGCTTGCTGAAACAACCGTATGTATACCCACGCAAAAATGTCACATCTTGTCAACAAGATGCGTTACAACAGGCTTGTAGCAAGCTTGTCAACAAGTTGTAACAATGTTGTCAAGTTGTTGCAAGCCTGCAAGATTGTCACTCACAACTTGTTATCAAACTGGTTGACTTGCACCGTTGCACAACGATAACAAGTTCTCGGAACAACTTGTAAGAAATACATTTATATAATCACTACAGTAAAACACGCAATATGATCGGTCAATAGCCGTGCAGGATCAGGCTATCCTGCACGAGGAGTTAAAATGCCTTCGCGGTATTCTCAAAATGTCATTGTTTCACTGTAGTTATTTTATAAAACAATTACCAAATGGTTTTCCAAGCTGAAGCAGGATAGCGTGATCCATGCACTTGGGAATGGGATGTTGCTCGACTTTTGGAAAGCGTAAAAATACACTCGCCTGCGGCTCGAGTATTTTTACGCTTCCCGAAAGTCTCGTGACATCCCTCGTGCATGGATCACGCAATCCAGCACGGAAAACCATTCGGTATTCCTTTATTGTTAACAAGCTTGGAACAAGTAGTGCGAACACGTCCTGATGACAAGTTGTTGAAACAGCATTGCTACAAGTTTGCTGCAGGTTTATAAGTTGTGCATTTTTACGTGTGTACATGAGCGAATAAAATAAAGATTTTATGAATGAATTCTTACTGCCTGAACTTTACATTTATAAACCTTACGTACCTTTTTCTCGTGTGCTTTTTGTCTTGAATTGCTACTTTTATTCTTGAAAATTGTTTTTGGATGCCCGCCAAGGTGTTTGGTCTGAAAAGTCCTGTATTCATCAAGAAGAGATTTCTGGATCTAATGAAAATGATTTTGATTAATACGTGGGCGTACGTGTCACTATGACTTATGCAGCTGATGGTAGTCAAGCTGCAATTACCAGAATGAGAAAATTTTTGATACATACATCTTCTTCGACGTCATTTACTTGATTATTCAGCGCGAAGCTAACCACATGTCTGTAATATAAGAGCAAATCTATATTTAACAACTTTTCACTGGATAGCTCTATCAGTTCTAAACTGTTCTCACTAGAGGTCCGGTATAAGAGACATCCCTTATTCGTCCAGTGTTACTGCAGAACGTTATTTGCACAGAGGTCCAGCAATCGCTATCTCTTGGTCTAGTGTTACTACAGGAGGGAACGTAAACTAAACTAACTTTATTTATAAAAAAAAATGGGCAAACCATTTTTGAGCCGAAAGTGGTTATTTTTACCGCGCGTAATACAAATATATACAAAATTTGCGAACTTCACGGGGCTATATGTTCTTCACAGCATTTAGCAACCAATCTTTGCCATTTTACTCATTCTAAGACGCTCTTTCTAGCTATGGTGTTGGATTTCGTTCTTCTTGCCTTGATTAAAATTTAGGCTATAGCTGGAATCACCCACTGGCTTGTGGACCAAATATGAAAGGCGTATGTAACACATACCCCGTCGAGTTTAGGTTTTGTATTTTCTTTCGCAAACGTCCAACTGCTTCCGTTGTCAGTTCTTCTGAAGCTTTGGGAAGATTTTGTTCGGATGTTAAATCCTCTTCATCTGAACAAAAAACTGCCCCAGATTTGTCAGCAGATTTGAAGTTCTTCCGATTCTTGTGTAATTCGTGTGAGGTCGCTTGTGCTGATTGCGTCATGGAATTGTCCGACTTCGACACGCGCGCAGCTTGTGAACCACTTGGTTGCTACAAGAGAAAGATGTTTCTTTTAGAATGTCATTGGGCTCCTTATCACTGCATGGGAAATAAATTCGGTTTCCAGAACAAGTCTGTGAGATCGTGGGTTCATGCAATTCTCACTGGGGACAAGAGTCAGTCAACGCTCAACCGAAAGTCGTGGGTTTTCTCCGGGTCACAGAGTAAATACCATATAGAAGTCTCACTTTTTATTATTTTTTTCCCAGTCCGCCATATTCTTAGCAAGTGCCCTAAAGAGAGGCCGTAGTACTCTGTGTCGGGGTACTCCGATTTCCTCCCACAGGAAATGTTGACAAGGTGCGTTGGAATTAACTCCTAACTGAACCTTCCACCGTAGTTGTGCTCCGTGATTAGACATGAGTCATAAGGTGGCTGCCACAGAGGCGCCCTAAGCCCTAGGCAAACTAGGAAACATTGTTGCGGAAACATTGTTTCTTACCAATGCTTCACCATGCTTCCAAGAGTGGGCAAACACTAGGAAACATTAGTGAGAAACATAGCTACTAGGAAACATATAGCTATACTTGTTTCCGCAACAATGTTTCCACGGGTGGGTAACCAAGGAAACATTCGAGGAAACATCGAGAATCACAAATGTTTCCACAACAATGTTTCCTAGTTTGCCCAGCCGGGCTTCAATGGGCCTTCGACTGGATCAGGTTGAGCTGCATCCTTTGCAATTCAGCTTAGCTCTCAGCTGCAAGTAAGGATAGTTAGCACGTCCAATGCACTTTCTTACCCCCGAAGTTACTCAGTTAGGGTGTTATTGGTAGCACAATAGTTAATGGTGCGCCTTTCGTCTTTGCAAACTGTGTTAATATTCAGCATTATTAGCATCTTGCTCGATAGAACTGAATGTTGAAAGGTTTTCAAAGGGTTTGATTCACGTATTCTACACTTGTCTGACTAAAATTTCAATCGCATATGAGAAGAGGGCTTCCAGTATGACAAACAATGCTGGTTTCTCCCTGTATAGTAACACTGGAGCAATACATGAAGATCCTTAAGAAGAATAGTTTGGAATTTATAGAGAGCAGTTGCTAAGTATTTTTACACTTGCCTGTTTATCTTTGCTATCAACAAATGAGAAATAGCCATTATCTGTGGAAGATGAATTTCGATGTTCGCGAGATAAATTATAGCCAGCCTTCGTAGATTTTTGGATCACTACGAAATACAACATAAAACTTGAGAATATTGCTTTCACTAAGACAGGTTCGATTCCAGTTGTCTAATTATAATTTCTGTCGCATGGGGGCGGCACTCGAGGGGAGATATGGTAGAACCACCCCAAAGTCGTCAGGTAGTCGGCAAACTATTTTATCCATAACTGCTTTGCCAAACGAAAAAAAGATCAATTGGATAGGAAGGCAAAAACTAAAATATTTATGTGAAACTGATTAATTTAAAAAATAATTAGGGAAAACTATAAAAAAAAACTGAACGGGAAACGGTACGTGAACAAAGACGATCAGGAAAAAATATTATGTCCGGAATAGAATTTAAACAATTTAGAACTAATAGAACTTTTCAGTATAAGTAAAGTTAGTTTAGTTTAGTTTTATTCATGTAGTAAGACTGGATCAACAAGGGATGATTCTTACTAGATCGCTAAGGGAAACATTTTAGAACTGATAAAGCTATACAGTACAAATAAAGTCAGTTTAGTTTAGGTTCTTCCTGTAGTAACACTGTACCAAATAAGAGATGACTCTTACTGGACCTCTAGCCCTAGGAAGAACAGTTTAGAACTGATAGAGATATCTAGTGTAAATAAGGTTAGTTTAGTTTAGATTTCGTCCTGTTGTAACGATCCTTACAGGACCCTTTAGAGAGAACAGTTTAGATCTGATAGAGCTATCCAGTCTTAATAAAGTTAGTCTACATTAGTTTTATTTTTTCAGGTAGTTCGAATACAACAGGAACGGTAAAATAATGCCTAGTTATACCTCCTCTGAAGTTAAATAATCTCTTCTCTCTGTTGCGGTCATTCGTCTTCACGCTTTGAATGTTTACGATGGGAAAACTGCTGTCAGAATTGCTTCGTTTATCCAGACACGTTTTCTCACTATCTTTTTGTGTCAAGCCCGCTTTATGTGAGGTCTCCTCCTGCAAATTTTCCCCATCGACGTTTTCATGACTTGACGAAATCTAAAAGTTCAAAAACAGAGAACACAATATACTATTTGAGTATAGGTATCCGTGGTTAATGTTCAGGAGCTGGACTTTGTAGCTCAGTTGGTTCGTAGCTTATCGAAGGGGAAATGGCTGTGAAACTCGTTAGAATAACAATATAACTCATTATCTATGTTAGTCAACGTTTATTCATAAATCTGGTCCTTCGCCGTCACGTGTGTGTTGTATTTTTGCCCAACTAACCAATAGCAATGTTTTAGGAAAGTATACCTATCCGTGAATCGAACAATAGGGTAAATTGGAAATTGCTATTGGTGGATTTGGCAAAAATACAATACACACGCGACGGTGAAGGACCAGATTTATGAATAAACGTTGACTAACATAGATAATGAGTTATATTGTTATTCTAATAAGTTTCACAGCCATCTTCCCTTCGATAGCCTATGGTTGGTTAGAACGCTGTACCGGAATCACACGGCTGCAGGCTCGATTTCTACCAGAGGGCCTCCAATGGCTCCCACTGGACCTCCAGCCAGAATAGTTTTTAAAGCTGATAGAACTATCCAACAGAAATAATAAGATTACTTTTTATTTTTAACTCCTAAATATAGTAGTACATTGTTTACTCACTTTTGGCGGTGAAGTGGTCAATTCATTCTTCCCCTTTTTTTCATTTGCCTTTCTTAACATAGCAGCATGACGAGCACAATACTGTCCCCTATCGTCTTTTTTATCCACACGTGTCCTCAGTTCCTCGATACGTCCCTCCCAGTCGCCTGCATGGGCAGTGGCAATCATCTTGTAGCTCGCGTTACAACGATGTAGTTTGCTTGCGATCTCGTGTTTGGGCGAAGGTTTGTTAGTGTCCTTTCTATGAATGGCTTGAAAAAAAGTTAATAATGGCTTTAATAATTTGGGGTAAAAAATCCTAAACATAAAACTCTGGTTTAAGTAATTTTTTCAATATTGATTATACTCACAAATATAGTTATACAAATCCCTTATTCACTACGTACAATCTCAGATTTGGAAAAGGCAGTAAGGCTAATTACAATCGTGACTCACTGTTTCGTGAAATGGAAGTTCTCTTCCTCGCGAATCGCCGTGAAATTGTTTTATTTTCGTGAAACGTGATCAATACCCTAATACATTAAGCACGGATCACTGGTAAAAAATATATTTGGGTTGTTCTTCTCAGACAAACTGGAGTGCGTTGTTTCTCTTGACTACAGAGGACTCGCCTTTGTGTGTAAATACGACATTAGATGAACTGTCACGAAAAGCGATACCCAACAAAATTTGCCGAATCGTTGGTGGGAGTAGATCTCCTCATGCATTTCAGTGCATGTCACTTTTTCATTCATATTCATGCATAAATGTCACACGATCTCAATTGGGAATCTGCATGCAAAACTGATGAAGTCCGCTGCCGAACTTTCTCGCCATTTCTGCTGATATTGGGGCGGGGGGGAGGGGGCATTTAGCCCTCAGCTCTTTGGTACTATATTTCTCTCCACTTACTTAAACGTATCTGCCTCGCCATATATCTTCCAATAAAACTGCTATCCGCCTCATCATCTGTAACATCAACATCACTCGTGTTTGCCTTTTTTCCTTGTACTGACCAACGATGTAAACTGAAAGAACAATGCAACTATCCAGTATACAGGGTTCGTACATGTCAGGAAGAGTCAAATTCAAGGACTTTTCAAGGACATTCAAGGCCATGTATCAGCAAATTCAAGGACTAAATACTGAAGAAGGCGTTAGAAATCAGTAAAATCTGACGTTGAATTGTTCAAAACGTAACTTTATAATGATGTCAGATATGAACATGCAAAATCAGTTCAACAAAATGTCCGTCTTGAATGTCAAACAATTTCAGAAAATATCCAAAAACTAAAGCAAGAAGAATTCAAGGACATTCAAGCACTTCTTTACAAATTCAAGGACATTCAAGGCCTTGGATTTTTGTTTTCAAATTCAAGGACATTCAAGCACTTTCAAGTATTGTACGAACCCTGGTATAAAGTAAGTCAATTTTGTTTAGGTTTTTCCCTGTAGTAACACAGGGTGACATTCTTGTTTAAAAATCTGGCTGGTTATAATTTTACCAAAAGAGTACTTCCAGTTTGACTCTACCAAATACCTCAGGTTTTCTCCAGGAACTTGTGGCCAGAGCTCGACAACTGGCCTCTGTAGCTCAATCGGTTAGAGAGCTGCACCGGAATCGCAGGGTTCGATTCCTACCAGGGACCTAAAAAGTTGCATTTTCGCAGCTGTTTCTGGTTAGGTCTAATAAAATGTATATAAATTTCCACTCGATAATTACCATCAATGACTGTAACTAACACCCTACACTTTACCAATAAGGGGTGGCTCTTATACTGGACCTCCATAGACAACAGTTTAGAACTGATACAGCAATCCAGTATAAATACGGTTAGTTTAGTGTAATATCCGATGGCTGTCGCTATCCGGCCTTTATACAATCGAGCCTAGACCAATGAGTGATATAACTCACACAAAACCTCTAGGAAAAATGGTTTTAGTGATTGGGACAGTTTAGAACTGAAAACTTACCTGCGTGCGGGTGTTGCAGGAGCCAACCCAAAACATGCCTGTTTGCCTGTATAGCGAAGTTGGGGAATACCTGAAAATATACGTCGATTATTTAGATCAGTCAGATTTTAAAAGTGAAAGTCGGAAATAAAAACTGATACCCACTTTGACCATAAAATGATGGAGATGATTGATTTCGTCCATTAGGATCCGGTATTGAGTTGACATAGTCTTGGACCTAGTGTAGGATTAAAACAATATTTGTGGTGTTTACACATTGTTTTACGTATGATAGTGGGGAGGGGGGGGGGGCAGGAAGGGGCAATCCCCCTCCCAATAATTTCTGAAAGTCTTTGAAGTAATATTTCAAATCCAAATATGAGGACTGGACAAGAGTCCGCGCAATTTGATCAAAATGCGAGGACTTGAAATCTAGTCCAATCCGAATTGACCATTTGCGTAATAGACTAAATTTTGAACTAAACAAGTCTAGACAAATATTCCATCACAGCTTCAAGGAGCATCACAAAATTAGTAATATTCCAAAGTTTCGTTGCAAAATGTTGTAAAATGCGGAAAATATAGCCTTGCGAAATTTGCAATTTTCAGTCATTTTAGATTACAAACAGGAAATTGACAGCCCCAAACCCTTCGAGGCTGTCAATTTCCGGTTT